CACCATGGTGGCTGTAATTGGACATGAAAAATGATGTCGTGTTTCCACTTGCAGGGAGGATTGGGGTGGGCGTAGGTGGGGCAAATGGCAAGTTGATATAGGAAGATGAATTTGGCATTATTTGAATGAGTTGGTTTTAGGCAAAGGGAAGGAAAAGACAAAATGAAGGTTATGAAGTGTAACGAGTAGAGTAATTTTGTCCAAGGTGTGCAAAAACAACAGTAAGGATGGTTTTCGGCAGAGATGAAGGTGCAAAGAATGAAAGGAAAGTAAGCAGCATAGTGCAGCTGAAGTTTTAACTCCCCAGTCAAAGTAATTACTTATGGCTTCTGTGGAAGAAAGGCCCACAGCTTTTTCTGCAATAGCATGGATTCACATTTTTGCTGTTATACAGCACCCACAGTTTCTGATACAGGGAGTCTGAGACACAGAGGTTGCATGATGCCACATGAGTAACGTAAATGTGAATAAAACTCTGGTTCTTCACTGCTGTTTGCCACCTCTTTGAAAACTGGGTCTCTTGTGTGTAACCAGAAATTCAAATTACATTTTCTGGCTCTTTTTCCCTCAACATCCCAGCAGTGATGTTGAGTGAGACATTTTCAAATCATTACTGTGGCCAAAGTGGCCTTTGCATCATGAATGGGGCATTCTGGGACCATAAAGTTGGGAATCTTATAAACACTTCAAATAGATAGATGCTCATGTTTCACACAGAGCATGAACATTTTCAGTCGTGTCCTACAAGGAAGGAGAAAGGCTGCAGATAAACTCATGCCGGATTAATAGATACTAAAACAGTATGTTCCTCAACAGGGATAATCTAGAATGAGAATTCACGATCATATTTCAAAGGAGACCACAGAGAACATCTTTGGGCAGAGGAAAGGAGGATCACTGCAGCAAAGAGAAGTGTAACAATTCCTTGGGGATGACCTTCCAGATTTTGTCCAGTCCATTTGTCAGTTAAATACTGGATTAGCCTGCCTAGTTTTTTTCCTTGTAATGCCAAATCTCTCTTAAAGACTTTTTAGTGATAAGAATCACTAAAAGTTCACAGCCAATCTCTAGTTCCTATGATCCCTTGTGGCTGCCCATGACATTAATCGGATTTGCTGATTGGCATTGGTATTAGCACCTTTCTGTTTTTCTTAAATCTGAGGTTTCTTCCTCTTCTTTGCCTGGTTGGGGTTCTTCTGATGAAAATTACAAGTTCCTGCAGGAAGGCTTGTGTAAAATATGTAATTCCTGACTGTATTGGCAGCTACTGGCGCATATATTTCATGACACTGGAGGCATTTAAAGATGTAGAAGATAAGTTTCATTGGTGGACAGTAGTAGCTGCCATGGATTTCCTGAGCCTTAGGGCATCATGACATGTTTTTAAAGCTTCATGTGCTGACTCACTCAAAAGCAACTTTATCAATTCTAGGTTCAAGTTCTCCTCACAATTCCAGGAAGGGGCATCTTCACCAAGGCATGTTGTCCACCTCTAGTGTACTGACCTGAGTTCTTCCCTCATAAGGGAACTGAAAACAGTAATTTGAGGTCACTGACTTTTCTAGTTCAAGGCAAAGATGATTATACAATCTCATTTACTCCAATATTTCCCTCCTGTTGTGAGACCAGTTGATTGCCATAGGACTGTTCTTCCACCTGACACACTCCCATGGTCCACCAGGACAAGAAGTTAGAGATATCCATAACATTATTCCTGAAAACACTTTTCAGAGAACTGTAATTATGAATAAAAAACTTTGTTTCTTTGCACAATGACAGTTCACAGCTGAAGAATAAGCAGAGAGCTTGAACCTCTGAATTCCTTTCTAAGCATGTGCTTCCCAGACTGGGGAAAGTACATTTTATTTTTCCACTTAGTCTTTCCCTGTTCCCCATGCCATCTGCCTGCTCCCACGGTATCTGTGTAAGGAAAGAAAAAAGAAAAGAGGGAGAAGAAAGAAAGTGCCATCTATGGAGGGAGGAAACTTAATTATTTTCCTCTCAGTGTTTCTCCATATAATGGGTATTTTTCATGTCAAGACTATCTCAATTTGTGTTATGGGCTCTGTGCATACAGCACTTTCTCTTTGGTCTATAAAGAAATTGTCAAGTGTATAAATCAGAGTGCACATTAAATGACACTAGCCTTTTATTTATCAATTTACCTAAATATTTCTTTTTCTCATTTTGCTAAAAACTTGATGTTCTCATCTGACTTTTGTGAACTGACCGCATCTAGTTCTTCACAAGTAGGAAGAGTTGTTCCAAAGGCAATCACTTGAATTCAGTGGGGAATTTTGTGGCTGTTAGCATACCTCCTACAAATTCCTACCTTATGTGACCACTTCTCTTTCCAAATGTCTGGAAAGCAAGTTCTTACTGTCTTTGAATGAGCAGCAGGGACCTCATATGTTTAATAGATCTTTAAGTGCCTCCAACAGCTAGGTGCTGAAGTGTAGTTAAAGGAGCGCTATGGCAGGACGTCCATCCTGCTGAAGACAAGTACACTGCTTCTGGCTCTGCTAATATCTTGTGATAGTTGCGTGTGAGGGACAGACCTTTATAGTTGCAGAATCAGGGGCTGATGTGAGGTTTACGCAGTATTTTCTAGTTTTTAGCACTTAAACTGCCTGGATTTTCTAGATGATGCTGGCATATAGAAGAATAGAATTTGCTCAGTAGTGTCTGAAGCCACTGATCCATCTTTTTCCAAGTGTGATTCTAACTGTAGTCAGTTTATGGCTAAGTACATTTTCCTCTCGAGACAACAATGCAGAAAGATCTGCGAGGCTCTCCATCATCTTAACCTACTTGTCAGCCAGTTTGATGACTTTTTATTACCAAATATGTGTTCAGAGCAATTAGAATAAATCTAAATGATTACGAACTACTTTCAAGAAAAAAAGAAGAAAAAAAAAAAAAAAAAAAAAAAAGAAAAGAAAAGAAAAAAGAAAAAAGAAAGAAATGAGGAAAAAAAAAATGAGGGAAGAAAAAGGAAACGGATTTGTTGGCAAGCTGCATTTAGCCACGAAGAAGAGAGGGGCAAAATCACCTCTACTTCATTCTAAGGTAGTAAAAAGACTGGAAGAGAAGCACAGAGATAGAATAATTAGAATAGAATAATAAGATATTTTGCATGTTACATAGTAGTACTGCCTAGATACAGACATCACAACTAAAAAGATTGCAAATCCCTTGTTGTAATGATAGTTGGTAAAAATTAGTGCTTCCAGTGTTTTCCAGAGAAAAGAGAATAATTCAGATCGATGCCTACTTCAAACTGAGAAGAATTAGGAAGAAAAATTGTCATCCCTGCATTTTCAGGCCAAACCCAGACTCCCCCACAAAGTTCCATCAGGACCATTCCTCTTACCCCTACTCTGAGAGAGCACAGAGGTGGCTATAGTTAATGTACTTTGCAGTCAAGGCATAGTACACTTCTGAGCACCTCTGCCCTCTGCCTGGAGGTTAAGACAGCTTTACTGGGCCTGCTGCAACTAACATGGATCCCAGTGGGAGTTTCCATTTTATTTAACCTCCATTTGCCTCTTTTGCTTTTTTTTTCTTTCTTTCTTTCTGTTTGTTTGTTTGCTTTGTGGTTTGAAAAGGCATCCTGTGACACTTAGCCAATTTTTGGTCTGACTTCATTGGGAAGCAGTGAGTTGGCAAATTCCCATTGCCATGTTAATATGGTATGGAGGAAGAGTCAGGAAAGGGCTTTCAGATGGAAATCTTGGCTGTTTCTGATCCAGTCTGTATCACCAGCTATTAATAGCAGAGGAATATCCTAATCTCTGGCATCAGACATTGAGATAGGCGCTAGCAGTAAGGATGCTTATGAACATCCACTGCCACTTCTCCTGAGAAGCTGTGTAGCTCTAGGTGTAAGGGAACTCCTTTAATGTGGAGTTCTCTTGCACTCAGACTTTTTAAGATAAAAAGGTAAAAGATAATAAGAGAGGCAGTGATGGGAACCAAACCTGGCCAGTCACACTAACCGTGTGCCTGCACCAGTGACCTTCTGTCCCCAGCACTATAAAGGAGGAATGGGACTCAATCATCTGTGTCTGTGTTTACATGAGCCCTGTGAGCAAGCACGGCTGAAGGCAGCACTTGGCTGGCAGCTGGTGTGACTAAACGTGTAGGTGTCCTGTCTGTGCTGTGCTGTGTGTCTCTCGGAATATGTTCATCCTTGCTATGGACTGGACCTGCACAAGGGAAAGACGCAGCTGTGTTCCCCAGCCTGGGCTGAGACCCCAGCTCCTAGGCACCATGATAGGCCCCAGTGGCCAGGCAGGAGCTGTGCTGGGTCAGAGTGGCCGAGAAGTCTGCTGTGCTCTGCACCTCACTGAACACTGGAGACAGTGCTGGTTGTCTGTTTTTCTTACAGGAACAGAGCAACAGGGATAAATTAGAGAACAAAAATCATATTTTCAGCACAATGGCAAGATTTGTATATGTGCATATATTCTGATGTAAGAAAGGAAAAACACATTTGAAAAAGCAAAAGAGGGAAAGGGAGATTTTGACTAACTTACTGTGCCTGTCCTCTGAAGAAAGTCTCAATGGCCAGCACTTCCATGACATGGGCAAACTAGGTCCAAGTACCATTCCCCCATACTGCTGATAATTATAGCCAAACCTCCTGAGCCAATGGTTGAGGTGAAATTTACTTCTGTTCTGACACAGTAGCTTTTTCAGAAGAAACTATAAGAAATTTTAAAAGTTACATTTAAAATTTCACAACCCAAGTGAAAAGAGTAGGTCTCTCTCCTGGTGTGATTCAGCAGAGCGCCTGTCAGTAAAACGGGGTGGCACTGAATTACCTCACACCAAGAAGCTGCCCAGGCAGCCTGTGCTCTGTGGTCACTTCTTTGCTTACTAATCGCTTTTTTCCCTCCTCAGGGAGTGTATTCTTGTGCTTACTATGATGCATGACTCTATATATGAATGCTCAATTCCATTGTTAAATATCTGTCTCTCTTCGTTTTCTCTTACAGATGAATAGACCGATCCAGGTGAAACCAGCGGACAGCGAAAGCCGAGGAGGTAGTTGACTGCATTGCTTTCAGCTACAGTGCTAAGTATAATTGTTGTCTCTGGCTTCTCTCAGGCAATGTGCTGATCAATTAGTAACGTAATCACTGCCAAAGAAATTCCCTCTGCAGCAAAGATTCTCTTTATTAAATCTCCTTTACTTCGTCTCGCTTTCCTCATATTCAATTATTATTTGATTTTAAAAGGCAGGCAGGTGCCAGAGATTGCCTGGGAAACAAATAACTGCCTTGTTAAGAAGTGAAGCATCAGGCACTGACTTAACAAAGTTTAACAGCAATGACGGCAACATAGGTTTTTCAGACCTATGTTCTGCTGAGCTGCAGAGGTGTTTAATGTGGTTAGGATAAAGCAGACATTTTACGATTTATCTGACCATGTTGTTTCTCCTTGAACTGAAACAACTCTGGTCATGGACAAGGTAAATTGTTAAGAGTTTTCTACACCTGCATCAGCTTATGTGGATAAACATGTTGTGGAAGCTGAAGGCTTCTCTCAGAAAAAGGGAGTTATTCAGGATTTGTACAGATGTAGCTGGAGTAAGGAGCTGGTCTTTCTCTTTTCCGTTCTGCATAGTGGATTTGGAAGGCTTTGCTAAGTGACCATTCCATTGATCACTGGTGATAAGGTGTTTCCTCTGACAGGTTTTCTTTCTGACAGGTTTTTGTTTCTTTCTGCTTTTTTTCTTACAGGCTTTCTTTCACAACTGATTTTGTGGTACTACAGCATACTTGCTTGGTAGGGGCCTGTTTGTCAGATCAAATACAGAGCTCATTAAGAATGGGTAACATCATTTATGCAGGACTAGTTTGCACTCTATTTTCTTAAATTTGCATATTTATGTATATATAAATATACACACATATATATATTTATATGTATATAATGGCATTCATTCTTCTCTATACCTATCTGCTTGGCTGAAAAAAACCAACACAAAATAGAGGCTTTTGTCAATATATGCAGTTAAAGCAGTAGTGCTTAGGTATCATAGAAACATGGGAATAGATTTTGTCATCTAGTGATGCGTTATATGAAAACTCTTTAATTTTCAACATAGACATAAACTTTTCTTCATTTATGTGACTCTATCTTTGTGTTGACATTAGTGGAAATTCCCCAGCACGAGCTACTGAAAAGGAGCAAAATGTCCTGCAGATAAAAGGCCCTGAAATTGTATTCTTTTTCAGTTGAAAGCTTTGGATTCCAGATGCTTTGACTGCATCAGTGTGAGGCTGAAACTCTCCAGTGACTCAAGTCATTGGAAGATTTTGTACACAGCTCATAGTTAGAGGGCTGGTGTCACGGAGTGGTGAAACCAGCAGGTAGGCAGAGGCTCTGTAAGGAAGAGTTGCGGTGTCGTGTAATTACAAAGCAGGGCAAGAACTGAATACTGGAAAAGTGCCCGAAAGTCCAGGGATAAATATGGCACTTCTGGAGTCCCCATAAAGTAAATTCAGGGGAGTTTGCTAGCAGTGTGCAGAAAGCGTTCAAAAGGCTCTGCAGTGGCAAGTTCTTCTATCAAGGGACAGAGCACTTTTCTAATCTGCAACAAAGCATGTCACACAAGGCAGCATCTTCTAGTGGTTTTTAACAGAACAGGGTCAATTTGCCCCCTTTTCCTTCCCCTCTGAAGATCTGGCTCCATGTCTTAGTAGGTGTGGGTAAGCTATGGGCAGTTGTCAGTGTGGATCTCCTATGGGGAAAGGGAAAGGCTCAGCTGCTTGGGCAAATGAGGGGACATTATGCACATTCCACTGGAGCTCATGTCGACAGTGGGAGTGAAGGGAGAGCCTTTTGTCTATTTAATTAGACATACCAAAAAATAATAATTAGGCTGGCCAATTTGCTCAGTGTGCCTACAGGGTATGTAGCTCCCAATCACTTTTTTTTTTTTTTTTTTAAATGCAAATAGAGAACACATGCCTGGTTTTCTGGGGAAGGTTTTCAAACTCTTGCTAAGAGCAGATGCTTTCAGGAGGAGAGGATTGAACCGCAAAGGGCTCGGGTGGCAGTTTGATTCCACATTATCTGTCACACCAGTAGTTCCCTCTCCATTGTATTTTACCTAATTATCTCCCCTACACTTACAAGCCTCATCTCTTTCTACCCACTCCGCTTCCGTATTTCTCCTGTCGGTGGTGATGATAATGTAGGGCCAAATGTGTGTGCTCATCATTGGTGTGAAAGACATGCTGTCCTAATTTCCCACTGTCAGGCTGCTTGTGGGCTGGTGATGTTTCAGAACGGCATGACTCAAGGGCAACTATGGGAGAAAAGAACAATTGGCACCCAAGGGAGGCATTGTATGAAAACTTACGTTCTCTGTGAGCCCACCAGTTAAAGGAGGCAAGGCAAACAGAATGCTAAAAAGGAGGCTGTGTATCTTAGGAGCACATCAAAAGACTTCATTAGGGCTGCAAGATAAAGGTCAACTTCAACAACAAAGTTGTTAAGTTGTAGCTTATTATACCCAACTCATGTATCAGGATGGGACATGAGGAAAGGGGAAAGGCTTGGAAGATTAAACATCTCTTCTGTACTGCACAGTCTGCTCAAAGCCCATGCTCTAAATACACCCCTGTCTTCTGACACATAGGGAATTTTGGTGCCAGGTCAAGGTATTAAAGAGAGGATGTGATGCTGTTTGAATCTGTAGTTCAGAAAGAGGCTGTAACTGGAAATGGTGAACAGTGTTCTTGAGGCAATGAGACTGTGTTTTACACAAGGATAAATACCCAGATTTTGTTGAAGCACGTGCCCTTGACTTTCCCAGTAAGATCTCCCAAAACCCAAAGCTGGTAGGAGTCTGGAATTTACTCCAACGACAGCAACAAAAGCAGAATCTGCTAGATAATTTTTTTCCTTGTTCTACAGCCTGTAATTCATTGGTCTTTAATCCCTTCTGTGTCTTGATTCTCAGTTGAAACAAAAGTGGGTTTGTTGGCATTTGGAGCATGTGAGTATGAATTTAGACTATCAGACCATCTAGATTTGGGAAGGAATGCAAAATATTGCTTGGCACAAATTTCACTCATCCCAGCAAAATGGAAATTCTGACTGCCCCTTATTAGTTGCGCTGTTTTTATTATTTTGTCTGTTAATCCCCACACTGGACTAGGAGCAATACAAAGAATACAATTCTTTTCAGTAAAAACTGGCATTATTTACATTTGCCTAATCTCACAGGACTTAGAAATGAATGTATTTTCAATACATTTCTCTTGGGAAACAGTCTAAATTAATGGGAAAATTGTGCATCTTGCATTCCTGCCTATTTGTGTGTGCAAATGCTCAAGCTGCAGAATGTTACATGGGAGTATTTCTTCTATCAGATGCTTCATGTGACTCCAAATATCTCATAAGAAGGTCAGAATCCTTCAACATTTTATAAAGACCTCAGCAGTGATCAGATTGATAGAACGTGACAAAAAGGCAAAAATTCTGTATTTCTTTCAGAAAAAATCAGAGTATAATTAGCTACATCAAGGATATCTTAAAATCTTTGTCTGACATTTGTGCTGCCCAAATTTTGCTTTGATTCCACAGAAGTTATTTTGCCATGTGTTATGTTGTCTGATACGTTTTAGGCATGTAAACTACAACTTGATGTTATATTCTGAGTAAGACAAATCCCAATTAAACAGAAAGAATTTTCTATTACTTTCATCCTGTTGATGACTTGACTTTAGTTCTTTGTCTTCTATTCAGCTCTAAAATTAGTTTTGTAGATATCAATGAATTAAAGTTTTGCAAACTTAGGGAAAGATTTCAAGTCTGTTTTGTGGTTTGAGGCAAAAGTTTGGAGCCATTTCTTATTTTGTTCAAGGTATCTCTAGCCCTCACTAGACAGCTCCTGCTGCAGCTGGCAGGGTTAACCTGTGATAAACACAGCCCTGAGGTCCCACTAGCGTGTTCTGGGAGTTACATTTTTTAAAAGGAAAGGACTCTCCTGCTTCTCTAGTTACACTCTATTAGTGATGCTTAGATGCGCCATTGCCTCCACATTCCTCTCAAAGGACGGGGGAAGGTCCATAAAGGAAGGCATGCAAAGACACACACAGTGTGCTACCCAGGCTCAGTGTTAACGTCTCTACCCAGAAACACTTCACAGTGGTTTCTGGTCCTGTATTTTATGAAGAAATTATAGAAGGTTCCTGTACTAAAGAAAATTTAAAAAAAAAAAAAAAAAAAAGTCAAAGTCTCAAGTTGTTTAGTTGAAAGGTAGCAGCGTCCTGCAGAGAGGGAGTAGAGGGATTTATAGGAGACCCTGCAGTTTGACACATTGCAGTGCTTTCTGCATGCAAGACTTCACAAATCTACAAAAGCCTTTGTGTCTGTTTGTGCTTGCAAGAAAATTTGTTTGTGTATGTTTTGCAGAAGGTGTGTGCAGTGTCTTTTTTGTCTGCTGTTTAGGGAACGTGATAGCAGCTGCTGGAAGATTTGGACTGTCATATTTCAAGTGACTTGCATCATTTCTCAAGCTGTTATTCAGTATGCAGGCTCTGAAATTATCTGTTTGCTTATGGTTTATTCCAGCTTCAGAACAAAATGTCCAAGCACTCACAATATGCAGCAATACTGTGGTGCTTTGCTCATGCACCATAATCTGTTTCTTTTTATTCCCGTCCATCAGCTCAGCAATTATGATGGGGCCAGAATGACCTCTCTGCAATTTATAAGGCCTATTGTCTTTGGGGACAAAAGTCTGGATCTGTTTCTTATTTCATCTGTGGCATTTCTAACTCTCACTAGCCCTCCGCTGCAGCTGACAGGGCTTGTCTGTGATGAACGTAGCCTCAGATTCCACTCACTATCTGCTATTTAGCTATTTTTCATTTAAATATTCAGAATTCTATGGCTCATGCTGTTGGCCAAAATGTCTCAGAAATCTTCCTGTCCAGATGCAGGCGAGGTTAACTGCTACAATCAAACATGACTTCAGGTTGGATTGGCTTTACTCTGTTATAACAAAGCCATGTGGAATTATTTCC